GTCAAGCCGGGCCTTAAAAACCTCCAAGGAAGGAGACTCCACCACCTACCTAGGTAACGCATTCCAGTGCTTCACCACCCTCCTAGTGAAATAGTGTTTCCTAATATCCAACCTAGACCTCCCCCACTGCAACTTGAGACCATTGCTCCTTGTTCTGTCATCTGCCACCATTGAGAACAGCCGAGTTCCATCCTCTTTGGAACCCCCCTTCAGGTAGTTGAAGGCTGCTATCAAATCCCCCCTCATTCTTCTCTTCTGGAGACTAAACAATCCCAGTTCCCTCAGCCTCTCCTCATAAGTCATGCGCTCCAGACCCCTAATCATTTTTGTTGCCCTCCTTGAATGCTAATACATGAAACCCGTGATGTGTAGTATTAATTCACAAGATCGCTTTTTGATTCTCTTCAGCACTTGAAATGGCTTCTTCTTCAACTGTGTTGATGCGCCTAATGGCCTCTGCGTATTCTGTTGCGCACAGAGCTGGAACAATAGTCAGAAATGTGATGGCTGGCGGAGACCTGGGCATAGTGGAGAAGGTACTTATTTTGCTTCATACTGATTATGTCTGTTAAGAACACTGAGTTAAAAACAGCCCAAGGAGTTCTTTCTGAAGATCAGACAACTCCTGCACAATTGGGGGGAGCGGGTACTGCGACACACTGACAATATCCTGGCATGCTTTATTGAATTAGGTTTAATACCTTTGGCGACCATTGTATTCAAAATGCAGTTGTGTATGAGTTATTGTGGAGTTGTATGTAACTCCTCTAGGAGGAGGGGGTTGCTAATGTCCATCCTTTGTTGTCCGTCCTTTGTTGTCCATCCTCTGAAGCCACCCCTTGGAGAGGTTGGCATATATGAATTCAAACTGGATTCTCCAGGGACCAACAGACAAAGAAAAAACTAGGCTATTTATCCAAAAATCCTATCTGGCCCAGGTTTTTCTTCCTGATCCAGCAAATGGACAGGACCCCTGGGTCATGGGGGCCCCAATCCTTAGGGTAGGATTGGAAGGACGGGGCCTACAGGAGCCCAATAGGGTTGCCAACTTTCTAGTTGCACAAAACTGACCACCCTAGCCCTGCCGCTGCCCTGAGGCCCTGCCCCTGTTCACTACATTCCCCCTCCCTTGGTGGGTTGTTCTCCCACACCCTCACTCACTTTCACTGGGCTGGTGCAGGGGGTTGGGGTGTGGGCTCTATCTGGGGATGTGGGCTCTGGGGTGGGGCCAGAAATGAGGGATTCGGAATGTGGGAGGGGGCTGCGGGTTGAGGCAGGGGGTTGGGGTGCAGGAGGGGGTAAGGGCTTTGGGATAGGGGTGCTGGCTCTGGGGTGGGGCTGGGGATGAGGAATTTGGGGTTTGGGAGGGTGCTACCGATTTGGGGGGGGGGGATGGGCTGGGGCTTACCTCAGGCAGCTCCCGGTCAGCAGCGCAGCATGGGGGCTAAGGCAGGCTGCCTGTCCTGACCCACGTGACCCAGAAGCAGCCACTAGGTCCGTGTCTTAGGCTCCACGCACCGCTCTTGCCTGCAGGTAACACCCTCACCAGATCCCATTGTCCGGAACCGCATCTTGGCCCCATCTCTAATCTTGTTGCAGCATTTTATATAAGATGCAATAATCAACTCTCCCCACAGATTCCTGGTCTCCTAGAGTGTTACCCAACTGACAGCAGTTGCCGGGCTGGTGTATCTTATTTCAGTGATTTCTCTAAATGTTCTTACAGCTTTTTCCTTTTCTGTTTCTCCTTTCCCCTAGCAGGCAATAGAGCATCCTCATTATAAAATATTTACACCTTTTTTATTGGAGTGATTTTGATTTAATGGTTAGTTTTTGAATGCTTTGTTTATGCTTCCCCCCCATTTGAAAGAGAAAATATATCCTATTCAAGTCTAATTGCAAGTTCTTTCAATGTGCTGGTAATGTGCTTAGTTTTCCTAACCACAATAAGTTATAGATCCAGAGCTTGGTAATGCTATCACACAATCATCTTACTCCTGGTATCATGTAATAAATATGTGTGTTCTAATTCAATTACTATGACTCTTAGCATATTGTGCATTTTAAGCCTAAGAAATAGAATATGCACCAGAAGTAGGCCCTTGTTAACAGACTTTTTTCTTTTTGATCTTTAAATGTCATTGCCTCCCTTCTTGCTACTCTTCTATCTTACCTTTTTCTTTTTTAAACATAAAAGTCCCCAAAACTTTCTACCTAATGCCCCCCATTACCCTTGTCTGTGCCCCCTCCCCCACCACTCTGGGAGAGGGGGGACGCAGACAGGGGCAAGGGGGACGAGGCTGGGGCCACAGCTGGGGACGAGTGGGGCTGGGTGCCTCTCCCCCCCGCCCCCCCCCCCCCCGCCCTTCCATACATCAGCTCACAGCTGGAATAACAGCCCTCTTCTCTGCAGCTCCTGCCTCTTCAACTCTCTGTCTTTTCAGTAGCATGTGAAAACATTTTTCTCCCCTATTTATGTCTCTTAATTTCTATCTCCTTCTCTTCTTATGTTTATTTAACTTGATAATATACTACTTGGCTCTGTGAAGTGTGGTATACTTGTATGAATGTTATCATACAAAATAAGGATGTTTTGTGCTGAATCCACTGAGAAGGTACAACACATTCAGCATTGGAACAAGGTTCCTCATACTGCCCTACCAGTGTATTTCACTCTTGAGACAGATAAGAGAGAAAACTCAGTCTCAATGACCTATTCAGTCCTTGGCTTCTCTCAAGTTGGTTAATTGAGATGGTGATTTCTGTGACGTGGATCCTTCTCTACTAGGAACTGGATATCCATGATCAGTGCGATACAGGCCACTGTGTTGTTTTAAAGTAGAATAATTTCTTCCCGTTCTTTGCAGTGTGGACCCAATGACTTGCAGACTAAAGCCGACCGACTGGTACAAATGAGCATTTGCTCTTCACTGGCACGGAAATTCCCCCGTGTTACAATCATCGGAGAAGAGGTGAGAACTCTGTTTATCTAACATCTTGAAAATGTAATTTGCCACTTATGATTTACATTTGTCATTTGCAGGCTTAAGAGAGCCACGTGTTCTCTTTAATTTTTATCTTCCCTCCCAATTCACCTTCCCTCAGCGATAGCCTCATCAGATGAATTGCCAGCAAATCCAGTGATTGGAAGGCAAATCCCAAATCCCCCTCTCACGCCTGCAACCAGGCCAAGTTAACCTGGGATAAGGGTAAAGGCTGGCACGTGGCTAAAACCTGGGGAGTGGCTGTATCACTTTGCTCCGTTGTATTTGCAGTGCTAGGAATGGAACCATATTTGGGAGCTGCAAAGGCTCACACACAGTGCTCTCTGGCTGTTGCCTGTTTCCGTTAGTGTCTTTGTGTCCTTTTGTCAGGACCTGCCCTCTCATGATGTAGATGAGGAGTTGATTGAGGACGGTCAGTGTGAGGAAATACTGAAGAAAGCTTTTCCACCACAATACAGTTCCATTAAAGAGGAAGAGGTAATAAACATGTTACACTTACTTTCTTATATCCCCATATAGCTTATTAGTCTTATCTAAGAAAGATCCAAGAAATAAAACAGGTAATTTTGATGTTGTCAGCTTATCTTTTGATTTAAGTGAAAATACTTCCTTTTTAAATTGAAGGTGGCAAAGTGACAGCCCTAAAAATGGAAGCCCTCTAATTATCCACAGAATGCGTGTAGCATGGGCAGCAGAACTGCAGGTTTCTCTGTAATGTTCCATGAATGTGTATCAGATCTATACTAAAGGGACCACCTTTAGGAGTGAGAGGATAGTTTAGTTTCCATGCCCATTGAATCGTTGTATGCAGTGTTGTTGTAGTCCTGTTGGTCCCAGAATATTTGAGAGACAAGGTGGGCAAGGTAATATCTTTTATTGGACAACTTCAGTTGGTGAAAGAGACAAGTTTACAGAACTCTTATTAATCCTTGACATCTCTACTGAGATTGCAAGCAACATTGTTAATTAGTGCAAGTGGTGGTGGGTTGATATTAGGTTTTAAATGTGGACGTCTTTCCATACAAAATGGACTGAGCTCACCAAATCCACATTACATAGCCAGCTGAATAGCTGGTGAAAAGTCTAATATCTCTTTACAAATCCCTGGAGCTATCCAGTCCTATATATAATAAACATTTATGAACATTAATGTAATTTTTTTGCACTTTAAGTGTAAGATTTCTTAACAATTGTGAGGTTTATCCTCCTCTCACTGCTGCTAACTAGTACTATTATACCAATAGTTTAATTTCCATGATTTGTGTTTCCTCGTGTTGTGTGCATTATTATTTTTTTTTTTTTTTAAGCTTGTTGTGTGGGTTGATCCTCTGGATGGGACCAAAGAATACACGGAAGGTTGGCTTCTCTTTTTCTTATTTGTACTGATTTGAAAAATTATTTCAGTTTAATGAAAGTAACGTAACAATTTCTAGAACATTCTAGAAGCTTATCAAACTGTGGTAAGCAGAGTCCATCAGAATAGATAGAAAATGTTGGGAGGAAAAGGATTTTGTGAGCTTTTTTTTTTTTTTTTTTTTATGTTAGACTGGTCATAGCACTAGAAATATACTATAGGGAACCATCTGCATTGGCAGGGGAGGGACTAGGTGACATAATAGTTCTTTTCTATTTCTAATTTATATAATGTGGTGATCTCCCACTTACAAAGTGGCCTGCAGAACAGGAGGCCTGGAGAACCACTGAACTAGAAAAGAATGGGTAGTGAAGTAATTGAGAAGGGTCAGACTCAAAGTCGGAATTTTTTTGATTAGATGGGCATGTAAGCAGGATCCAAATGTATGTATTACAAGTCAGGAATAAGCAGGATTTCTTAAATGCTTCATATCTGAAAAAGAAAATGTCACTTAGCTTTGTTGGGCAAAGAAGGATTTGTCACTAAGTGGTTTTCCTGGCACTGTTTTTGGCCATTATTAATATTTTCAAGTAATTGAACAAAGATAGAGGATTGTGGGTTTGCATGAGGGCTGGTTTTTTTTTTTTTTCTTCCTTCTTACTCCCATTTTCAAGCATTACTGAATAGTATTTATTACTTCTTCACAGGTCTCCTCGACCATGTAACAGTTCTTATTGGAATTGCTTATGAAGGTAAAGCAATAGCAGGAGTTATTAACCAGCCCTTCTACAACTATGAGGTAATAAATGCATTGATTTTGCTTGAGAGCACTAAATGATCTGTAACTATCACTTCTAGGACACATTTCTAGTTCATACACTTTCTGCTCAACGGTGCTTGATCTACAATACATACCACACTTCACTCGCTAGAGCTAATGGTGTAATATAAGGAACTTTTGATCTATGTGCTTCTTGATGATAGTTTCTTGGAACTGAATTCCAAGGCCCTGCAAATAACTGCAACAGCTCTCCACTCTTTATGGTAACAAGACATTACACGTATTGTAGCTAGGCTGTCACATGAATGTAAAACCCATGATATCTTGCTCCAGGCTGGTGGCTCTTTGGACGCATTGCAGAAGTGACCTGTTTAGATTCACAGGGAGATGCCAACCACTCCAGTCTGTTAGTGCGACTTGATGACTGAATCCTGGGACATCATTAAACTGG